ACTGTTCCAATCGATAGTTGGTAAACAGACATAGTCAACGTTAGTGGCAATTCCTCTTATAGCATTCCGACCACTATCAGTTCAGTCATACTCACATCAATAAGAACCACACTATACATGAACATACGGAAAAAAAAAAAGCAAAAAAATCATGGTAGCTTAAAAAACAATAAACAAGGCAACGATGTATAGTCAAATGGAAAAAGATATTGACTTGCAGGCCAATGGTCTCAGGTTCGAACCCCATAACACCTTAGTAGTGTGTTAGAAACCCCTCTCCCCTTGTAGTTTAAACTATCACATGTATTAAAAAAACAAAAAAATATTCAATAAGTCTCTGCAAAACCATTAAATACATCTCTTAAATAGAGAAAATACCCTAAGGTCCTAAACCCATGCTCATGCATAAACTCGTGTATTAAATTGCCATTTCGAAATGGGTAAGGGCCATGGGCTTCAAACTAATTCTTCAAGGTTAATTTGGGTAAGGCCCATGTGCTAGACATCCAAAGCCTTACAGAAGGCCAGGCCATAATCTTTGAATCCACAAACGCATAAAAAACCCACATGTATAATGTTTTTCAGGCATTAATTAAGACAATGGATTGACAGTGAAAGAGATATTGTTCGGCTAGCTACCATTATTTGAGGCACATATGGCTCAAATATATATATGGCAATGGATTGACAATGAAGGTAATCTTTTCTATCTCAATGTTGATAGATTTGTCTTAGATTTGCTCATGGGTTGAATTAATTGTGAAATTCTAACAAATTTAGGCCAATTCTAGTTTTCTGACTATTGAAATCATTCGAAGGTCAAAACAGACCCAATTAAGTCTTTGTTTACACAAAATAATTTTGGTGTAATGTCATAAGCTCGACGAGTCTTGTGGTATTATTCTTTCCCTTTTTCGTTTGGCCTACAAAATTATTAGGTTCAAAACATCATTTCCATCATCATTATCTCTTCAAAATTTCCTCACTTTACCATAATTAATCACAACTGCCAGACCCACCCACCCTCACGCACATTCTATCAATTTCCTTTCAATTTCTTCCTTGGAATCCATAATCGGAGAGGTAAGATTGAGGAGCTAGAGAGAAGTGGGCTGTGGAGCATAGCCTAAACAAACTTTTCGTCTAATTGTGTGTTAGGCCAGTTAGTCAAGGCAATGAGTTTGTTACCTTACATTCAAGTTCGAGTCTCCCTCTCCTTAAATTAAATTAATTTAAAGTATAACATTTTCTTTTGTCTAATTAACCTCTAATCAAATTTTGTTCTTACACAAATAAATTGATATTTTGTTTTTGTTTTTTGTTTTGTGTTGAATTGGGTCCAATATCTTAAACTAAGTCTAAGTTTTAGGAGCCCTCTCTTATTTTGTGGTCATAGGATACAGTCTTTGTAAGAGAAACTTGCATGCTCTGATTTCATTGCTCCTACCTCACGTGAGGAGGGAGACAGAAAAAAGGGGGCCAATAAAGCCGAGGTAGGGAAGTATTTTTCTTACATAAAGCTACACATGAGTCTAGGATCAAATTTAGCTTTGCTTTGAGTAAAGCTACAACAAGTATTGATCATATACAAATATCACAAATTTATGTTTACACTATGTGGAACATAACAACTTTAAGGTACCTTATGTCGACTTTAAGGTCAAAAGCTATACATCCAATTGAAAACTCCTTCAACCTTACTAACACTGAAATTAAGGCCAACAGTGACGAATTATACCAACATAAAACATTTTTTGTTTTGTTTGTTTTTGGTATAACTTGAGCCACCAGTTTCATAGGCCCCATGGAAATTAAAGCGTATGGGAACCATCCAAATGTCAGTGAGCAATCAATTCTTTTAGGAAGTTTCCATGCACCTTCCTCTCCACCTAAAAAGTCTCTGCAATCGTATTGTTTTCCTCACCCCCCCCCCCCCCCCCCCC